CCCCAAAACCCCAAAACCCCATCAAATCTATTAATCAATACTTATTGTTATAAGCATGTAATTAAATTAATTTACTAACAGGTTGACAATTTCAATATTCTTCTACTTCAATTTGCTTGCGAACATTCTCAGCATTATCATCTTCAGACCTCTTCCTCTTGATATCACTTCCACGATTAAAATCATTTTGCGAATCATTGCATATAATTATCAAATCTTCTTGTTCAAGTCCATTATGTATGCTATTAAGCACACTCTTGGCGCTCTTGGTAGCATTTGGATCTACTCTCTCAGACCTATGCTTTAAAAATCTCCATCCACCTCTGAATTTCATTTTCTCTTAATCTCTCAACAGTATATCAAATCTGAAGTTTTAGGCAATAGCATCAATGTTTGGGTTATCCAAAACAGTAAATTCTTGCTTTAACTTATTACATACTAACTAATGAGGATGGTTGTAATATTCGTCCCAGCTGCACTCAATTACTACTGGCTTACCTATTTAACTCTGCATTAGCGCTCTCATTCTTTCATTGTCGTTAACATCATGAGGATCAGATTAATGGTATTCAAAGAATATGAAGTCGAAGAGTTGCAATTATTTGATGTTAGGATTCATCTTATCTTTAGTATAGGTATATAGGCCCCAGAGATACTCAGAATTTCTATGGCAAGATATCATTTTTATAACGAAGTCAATAGAATTTAGATGCTTAGGCTTCCATTTGAGGATTTCTTAGCATGTTCCAGGATAGTAGGGACATTGATCTTAAGTGAATATTAACCCATCATTATCATGTTAGAGCCTTGGAATAATTTTTTAAATGATGTCCTAGACATACTTGACCTCAAACATATCCTTCATATAAATATCAACCACATTTTTAGCTTAAACTTATCCATTCGAATTAATGTTCTTTGTGTTTTACAATCTTAAGATCTAAGGCTCTCGAATTCTCCTTTTGACTTCGTTATGAGCATTTATAAGTCTTTACTGGAAATTCTACATCATGCAGCTGTAGCCATTAACTAGCATAGCATCGAAGACTAGGTAGATTGGAACATCTTACTAAAATTTATCCAATACTAACTCGCCGTCAAAGATGTTAACAATAAGAGTGTTTTTCTTTTATCTAAAATCACAATCTCTTGGTTTTACTTTCCTAATATTAAACTGCCTATCTACAATGAAGAATTCCTCTTTATTAGTCTCAATCAGGAAATACCTTAGTCCATCAGTCTTTTCACATACAATATATTTATTTTGTTGCAACTAATAAACATCTTTTTACTAAAATGACACTGGCTAAGCCCCAGGAAAATCCTTACCCCAATCTCGAAGTTCAAATGCTTTTATTATTTTGTTTAATAGATCTTAATCATAGCCAGTCTATAGCAACTGGTGGTAATCTTTCTTGAATTAGTCCTTTGTTATGCTAAAAATCTTTTTCAACTCTGCTCTTATAAAGTCTTATTCTTCTTTGCTTGTACCCTTTCCATAGGTCTCTAGATTTACCTATGGTTATGAATCTCCCTTATTCAATGATAAAATATCATGTCTGCTGGGATCAAACTAATTTCTAACTAAAGGTATTCTATTGAAATGATGCCCTGTATTAATATCGAGTTATTCCATTAATCTTAATTATTAATGATTAAGCATTTATTATTAAGTTCACCATTAAGACACGAGATAAGTCTGATTGCAATAACAAGCGGGGTTTTGGGGTTTTGGGGTTTTGGGG